TGGTTTGCCTCAAACCAAAAAAAGTTCTATTGGGACAGAATCCACAAAATACCTGAAAGATGGGGGAAATGTGTAGCTAGCGATGGACATTACTTTGAATAAAGCACTTTTGGTGTTTCTCTTGAAATTATCTTATTTTCTTTGATTACAAAATCTGCCATTATTAACCGGTACACCTAGTATATAGTATGCTAATGGACAGAAAAATGCATTAAAAAATTAACGGAAGGAAACAAACCAAAAAGATAACAGTGACTTGTCTTGAGGTGAGGTTTGTCTTTTGCTTCCTTCTTCTTTTTGTTGCTTTCTAAATGTTCTTCAATGAGCATGTATTATATTTATTGTTGTTTTTATGTATTTATTTTTTAAATCAGAAAATAAAGGTATCAAGAAAAAGTCATTTCTCTGTGTCAGAGCCAAAGGTATAGATTTACACTCTATTATGCTATTTATATTAGCTGCCAGGGAGAGGGAAATTACTAACTTTTTCATGGTCCATCACTGCGCTGTTTGATTTCTTCAAACCAATATGTATATTAAGTTTTAAAAAATGAAATAAAGATGTTTAACTTCTCCATGGAAAGTGGGTTACATGGGAAACTACTATTAATCTCAGAATCTCATTTTAATTATTATAAAGGCAGACACACTTGGGAGAACACAATGAAACAAAGACCTGTATAATTCACACAGATAGAAGCCAGAGTTAAGACACTGAAACCATCCATTATAAAATAGAGATGTAGGAGGAAACATTTAATTTTTTTCAGGGGGTTAGGGTTTATTTTAAAACATATTTTTTATTGTTAGGGTTTATTGTTATCAAACCGATAACAATATTCAGAACTGAGGGAGTTGAGATATTCTGCTCTATAAATAGCAAATCAGTGCTATCATGAGAAATGTTTCTTATGCAATTTTATATATTCTACTAGAGGCCCGGTGCATGAAATTCATGCACACAGGGGTGGGGGGTTCCTCAGCCCGGCCTGCGCCCTCTTGTAGTCCACGAAGTCCTCAGAAGATGTCCAACTGATGGCTTAGGCCCGCTCCCCAGGCAGTCAGACATCTTTAGCACTGCCGCCACCACCACTGCGCTTGCCAGCTGTGAGCCCAGCTCCTGCGTTGAGCGTCTGCCCCTGGTGGTCAGTGCACATCATAGCAACCGGTCGTCCTGACGTTTGGTTGATCTGCATATTAGCCTTTTATTATATAAGATTGTGGTATTAAAAGACATGTACTTATTACTTCTAGACATAACTCATCACATAGCTGTACTCACGTGGGTGATGCTTCCTGATCCATTCTAAGCAATCAAATGCGACCTTTTTAGGCTTCTTTGGTAGCACATAGTATTTCAGATTATGTCTGTTAAAGCTCATGGTAAACCTAAAAGAAGTCCCAAACATAAAATTTTGTTACTATGAGAAAATACAGTTTCAGCCACCTTCAAAAATTAAATGCTGATGTTCCACAAAGCAAACCTAATCATCGAGTTGTGTTAAATTGAATATTGCCCTGGCAGCTTACATAATAGAACAGAGAAACGGAAGTTGGGTTAAGGGGCTAACAAAATGAATGGTGACAAGGAGGGGGTGTCTATGGGACTAGCTGACGAGGAGCTAAGGACGGTAGAAGAGAACACATGCAGATAAGCCGAGAGCCCAGCCTCCAAGATGAAGATGACTAAGAGCAGAGATGACTAAAACATTACTTAAAAGATTAAGAAAATCAGCCCAGCCAGTGTGGCTCAGTGGTTGAGCATCGACCTATAAACCAAGAGGTCGCGGTTCGATTCCTGGTCACAGCACATGCCTGGGTTGCGGGCTTGATCCCCAGTCGGGGGTGTGCAGGAGGCAGCCAATCCATGATGATTCTCTCATCATTGATGTTTCTACCTCTCTCTCCCCCTCCCTTCCTCTTGGAAATCAATTAAAAATAAATAAATAAACAAATAAATAAATAAATAAATAAATAAGAAAAACCATAGAGAAAACATATACGTTTTCCCAAATTTTGACTGTGTACATGAGGGGCTAATTGCCAGGCAACAAAAGGTGCATGGGCCGTTCTACTTTGGCTCTGCGTCCCGGAGAGAATGTGGGTGACGCTGAGACAAATGTGCTCTTCTCTCTTTCTGGTCTTTTGCCCTTGGTATCCCACTTCCTCTCTCGCACTTCCTCTCCACTATCTCCTCTCTTGAACTTCAGTTTCTTCTGTGAATTCTTCCCTTTTGTCTCTCATCACCAGTCCTAAAAACAACAAAAGCTTCCCCTGACCCAATACTGTACTGCTGCTGGCATCCCACCTTTCTTTCCTGCCTGGGTTGCAGGCTTGATCCCCAGTGGGGGGTGTGCAGGAGGCAGCCGATCCATGATGATTCTCTCATCATTGATGTTTCTACCTCTCTCTCCCTCTCCCTTCCTCTTGGAAATCAATTTTAAAAAATTATATATATAAAAACCCATAAGAGAAAACATATACGTTTTCCCAAATTTTGACTGTGTACATGAGGGGCTAATTGCCGGGCAACAAAAGGTGCGTGGGCCACTGTACTTTGGCTCTGCATCCCCGAAAGAATGTGGGTGACGCTGAGAGATGTGCTCTTTTCTCTCTCTGGTCTTTTGCCGTTGGTATCCCACTTCCTCTCTCGCACTTCCTCTCCACTATCTCCTCTCTTGAACTTCAGTTTCTTCTGTGAATTCTTCCCTTTTGTCGCTGAATATGTTCTAAGATCACCAGTCCTAAAAACAACAAAAGCTTCCCCTGACCCAATACTGTACTGCTGCTGGCATCCCACCCTTCTTTCCCTCCAGTGGCAAGTTTCTGGGAAGACACTTACGCTTCCAACCGACTAACCACACACTCCGTTTCTCCTCATCACTTCCATTCTGGCTTTCCCGTTACCATTCTACGGAAACTGTCTTATCAAAGCTTTTACAGCTAAAGAACTGTTACAGGATCCTTGGCCTGCAGGGACCCTCCACTGCCCCAGGGTCCAACATCTCCGCAGGAAGAACAAGTTAACTATAGAGCACAAAGACCTCCCGTGCCTGGGCTGATGGTGAGGAGGCTGCTATTACAAGGGTGTGGAGATCAGAGAGAGGCAACCACTGGCTCTGTTTTTGTATCTAATTCCAAGCTAGCTGGGTCCAGGTTTTGTTGCCATTGGTAGGATAAATGTGTTTAGTTTTAGGACCAAAGAATGCCTCGCTGCGGAGGGCAGCCAAGCTCCTGAAGGAACAGCTGTACAGGTAAGAAGGCCACGCAGAAGGCAGTAGTAACCTTCACCTACATTTGTTTTTGCATTGGTTTCTCAGACCAAATCCTCTCTGACCTCCCAGTCACGCCACATTGGCTATTCTTGCTGAAAACCCATTAGCTCTCAGTTTTACATTCCCTTCACCTCTCTGATCTCCCCATCTCCATCTTTTCTTCCTTCGCTCACTTCCTAAGTGACAATCACCCCCGCAATGCTACGCTCTTCTCTTCTTCCCTACCTCATCTTCTTCAGGGGCCACACTTTCCTTAAACTGCATCCAAATAAAGGGTGTCCCGAAATTCAAGCAATTAGTAATTTTGATAGAAAACACAGGTTTATAATTAAAAATTGTAAATGTTTTACTGATTCATAAAGTATACAGTATAGGGTTATGTATGGAATAGCACATCGGGTAAATGGCCTCCATGGCTTTGCTGGCACATATGCAAAGCCGTGGTCTTCACTGGTCTTCACTGTCCCTGCTCCTGGGCCATCATTGGTACTTGGTCATGCTTATCAAATTGAAGGGATTGAAATCAAAGGGCAACAGATATTAGAATCTGATTCACTAAACCAAGTAAAATTAGGCTTTTATTTTTTTTGTTGTTGTTGTTAATGCTCACGCAAAATTCAAATCTTGCGTGAATTTTGGGACACCCTTTAGCATTCCGAGTCCCAACTTTTGCCTCCAGCTTAGACCTCTTTTCAGATTTTCAACCCACAATCCAACTTCTTTTCACACAGGTGGTCTAAAACTGTGCACACGAGTCCCGACTTTTGCCTCCAGCTTAGACCTCTTTTCAGATTTTCAACCCACAATCCAACTTCTTTTCACACAGGTGGTCTAAAACTGTGCAGGCGTGCCCCCCCAGGGAGTCACAAAGACTTTCTCAAAGCATAAGAGCAAAGACAAATTTAAAGGAACCGATTCCCAGGTCCTCCCTTCTGCATTTTCACATGTAACTTTTGCTAAAAGACTGATCTGAGAATGCACCTGCACTCAGGCATCCTGCTGGTTTCTCCTGCCCCGTTTTCTTCCTTTCACAATTGTCCTCCCACTTTCTAAAAACAAACAAACGAACCCTACCTTTGACTCATTCTGAACTTTACTATCCTGCACTCTTCCAGATGCAAAAACCTCCAGGACATTAAAAAAAAAAAGAGTCTAGTATGGGTATAGATAAAGCTTTCTTTAGCCAAAGAAACTGAAACCGCTGGTGAAGCTTCGTGTTTGTAAGTGTTTTACGTATTTCTGTTAAGGGCAGGTATGACATCAGGAATGAAGCATTTCAGCCTCTAATGGAATGTTCTGGTTTCAGATACAGAGGAAGGTGGTGGGAGTGAAGATGATTTTTACTTTATGACCGTGCTTCTTCCTTCATCCCTGAAAACTGTCAGAGAATGCATTACTCTGAGTCAAAACCAGCCCCCTTATATCACTTGTACAAGACACTCAGAGCTTTCTTTTAGTGCTTGAAATGGCAGAAGCATGTGTAGCAAGCAGATTGTGGTGAAGAAGGGGGCAGATAAAAGTCTGATATATTCAAGGACTAATTTGATTGTTCTCAGTTCATTACTTACAGTCACTGCCACAGCAAAAAGGAACTGCAGTCCTGATAAATCCTGGCATTAAAAAAAATTGCTCAGGCCTGGCCAGTATGGCTTAGTGGTTTGAGTGTCATCCCATGCACCAGGAGGTCACTGGTTGGATTCCTGGTCAGGGCACATGCCAGGTTGCTGGCTCAATCCCCAGTGGGGGCCGTGTAGGCAGCCAATCAATGTACCTCTTTCATCAATGTTTCTCTCTCCCCCTCTCCCTTCCTCTCTCTCTCTAAATCAATAAAAACATATTTTAATAAAAAATAATGGCCTCATTGCCTTTTCCTACGTTTTACACCACACTTTAATATTAGAACAATGTTTCATGCATTAAAAAAAAGCCTGGTCAGTATGGCTCAGTGGTTGAGTGTCAGTCAACCCAGGAACCAAGTGGTCGTTGGTTCGATTCCTGGTCAGGGCACACACCAGGTTGAAGGCTCGATGCCAGTAGCAGGAGGCAGCCAATCAATGATTCTCTCTCATCATTGATGTTTCTATCTGTCTCTCTTCTCCCTTCCTCTCTCTGAAATCAATAAAAACATATTTAAAAAAATCTGAGTCAAAAAAGAAAGACAGTAGCAATGCTGGTGGGAATGTAAAATGGGCAGGCACTTTGGAAAATAGTCTGGCAGTTCTCAAAAGGTAAAAAATAGAGTTAGCACAAAACCCAACAATTCCATTCCTCGGTCTATATCCAAGAGTCAGGAAAACACAGGGCCGCATAAGAACTTGTATGTGAATGCTCATAACAGCATTACTCTTAATAGCCAAAAAAGGTATAAACAATCCCAGTGTTGACCAATGAATAAATAAAATGCGATATACCCATAACAATGGAATATTCTTCAGCAATAAACTCTGAAAACATTATGCTAAGTGGAAGAAGCCATATTGGATGATTCTCTTTAAATGAGACTAGAGGCCCAGCACTCGCGCGATCAGGACCAATCTTCCCCGCTGCCTGCCACATCTACCACCACCCACCCCCGGTTCCCAGCTGGGGGCAGACCCCCTGGTGGTCAGTGCACGTCATTGCCAACTGGTTGTTCAGCCATCCAGTCAATTTGCATTATATATATATATAGCGATCCAGAACAGGCAAATCTAAAGACAGAAGGTAGATTGGTGGTTGCCTCGGGCTGCTAGGGGGTGTGAGGGCAAGTGGGATTGACTACTAATGGATATGAGTGCTTTTGCAGGGTGAGGAAAACATTCTAAAATTGATTGTGGTGATGGCTGCACAACTCTGGCTACTCAAAACCACTGAATGATACACTTTAAATAGGTGAACTGTATGGCATGTGCATTATATCTCAATAAAGCTGATATATTACAAACATTTGGCATAAAATCTGAAATTTTTATTTGTGGCGTAATTGAGAAATGTTTACTAATTTAGTCAAACAGACTACTTTTACTAAAAATAAGAAAATGACATCATATTAGGACAGAAAGCTGTAGATCTCAGATCCAATTAAAACCAAAACAAGTATCTCTACAGCAAACAGACTGCTAAAATCCAGCAGAT